GGGGGGGTGTCCGTGCACTCTTTGATTTTTCGCGTTCTGCCCTTATCGTTTTTCGCAAACGTTTCAAATTCTCGATTTGAGTTACCCTGTCTCTACCCTAGAATTACCAAGGTCAATCAGCTCAGTACCTGGTTCTGAGATGTTTGACGTTAACAATTTAAGTTTCACATGTCAAGTTTTTTCCAATGCAACTCATTGATTTTTTGGGTTACATGTCCGAATAACCTAACCATTTTGACCGAGCAGACAAGCTATTTATTGGATTCTGACCTTATGGTCATAGTAACTCAGAGCAGCCAAAATGTCCCATAGAACTATACAATATTTTTAAGTTAACGCGGTGTATCTTGTTTCAAATGCAGTCGCGCGTCTTTCAATATTTTGCGAAAGACCTGAATTCACGGATTTCTATGAAAATCGCGGGAAAAAAAATCGAATTCAAGTAACAGGTGAACAAAAAATCGTAAACAGTTGTTACTAGGGTGTGTCCTTGAACAATGAACAAAAAAGCTAGCCCAAAAACAGGTCTTTGCGTAATGCTGGCAACCACAAATTGTGTGTTAAAGTTGGTGACATTGTATATTATTGTTCGTGCGTTATCCCAAAGGGGTCAGTAAAGTGGTTTTCCTTATTTATATTTTTCTTATTCAGTTTAGTCAGAGTTTTACAGCGCTCGCAACTGCATGAGCGCACGAAAAACGAGTTGGTTGCAGTAACAGCGGTTTGCAGCATAGTTTGCTTTAAGTCAGTATCTATATTTAAGATATATTATGTTCTAAAGATATAGTGAAGCTGTTGGTAATAAGTCGCAACTGAAATGGCCGTCGAAAGTATGATTGTCTGGGCTGAAAGCTCCAGGTGATGAATGGGCAAACTGCTCCCAGAGAAGTTTCAGTCTGACCCGCGAGTCGACCCAGCAGTTGATGATTTTTTTAAATGGTTAAAAAGTATAGGTTTAACGCCCCTATCAAGACTATTAGGTTATTGAAGAGGCTGGACCTCTGAGTTTAACGTCCATCTACGAAAGGACTGAGCCAAATGTGAAATTCCTATTAACGCAAGAGTTTTTCCCAAGGACAATACGTGGGACTGAGCTAAGGCTCGAACCCCCGAACTCACAATCTCACGATTACGAGTTGATGATGA